TTCTCTCCGTGACCGTCACCGGCGGCCATTTTTGACAATAGATTCCGATCTTGATTCTCTGCCGCCAAAGCCACCATTTTTGTTTTTTTCTTCTTTAATTCTCTTGTTTCTTCAGGGAGATTTAATAGTATTTTTTCTTCGTTTGTTGTTGTTTGTTGTTTTTTCTTCTGTTGAGATTTAGGAAAAAAGGTTTTATGTCTTTGTGAGGTGAGTTTGTGTCTATATATAGGAGTGTTTGGAGATTTGGTTTACATGTGTACACACCGAGTAAGTAGCGGGACAGTGAAGGTTCCATGAAATAACCATACGAAGCCAAAATTTCAGAAAAGTCCTCAATGTTTCTTGTAATTTTGTTTGACTCCTCTGAAGTCTGAATACTTCTTTTTTTTGGGTGGGATTTTAACCAAATTTCTGAAAATGAGTGGACAATATGTGGGAGGGAGATGGTACGAAAATGGGGACCTGTTTGAATACAAAATTAAAGTCCAATTTTATTTAAATTCTATGTTTAAAAACTGCATTTGATGGGGAAAAAAGGGACCGAAAATAATTCAATTTATTTGACTTTTTTTTTTTTTTTTGGTTAAAGAATTTATTTGACTTATGGAATGACACATATCTTCTTTAGAAAACATAATAAAATTCAGCTCCTACAATAGTACAATCACATGAATTCAGTTTTTGATTTCTCATTATTCTTCATAACAACGTGTTTGATTTATCTATTTTATTCATAAACGCAATCTGAAAAATTTCCCAACTAAAAATGTAATTTCCATATCTGTTCAAATTTTGGAACGTAAGGTCGTATATGTTCTAGAGAATCAGATCTGCAGTTGAAGAACCAAGAAGGGCCATAGCACGACATTTATCCGTGAGAGTAGTGAGAATACTACGAAAAACTTGCCCATGAGATAAAGAAACACCATCATGCCACCGGCGATTACGCTCCTTCCAAATCTCATAGATTGCACCTTGCCAACCTTGAAGCACAGCTAATCTCGCTGATATATCAAGAGGGGTAACATGAAGCCAGTGTAAAAGTTGCGACCAAATCAGAGGCACATCACGAAGATGCAGCTGATTCTTGATCTCACTCTTCTTAATGGATTATTGATCTTTGTTGTTTTTTTGTTTCCTTTCCCTTTCTTTTGGCTGTAAGGTTTTCAATTACTACTATGTAGTTTTTCTTTACTAATGCAAGAAAACCCTTTAACAAAAAAAAAAGTCGTATATGTTTCATTTGACTGGGGGACCAAATGTATTTATTTTTATATAATACCGACAGTCCTGAAAAGTTAAACCATACCACTTGAAAGAATTAGGGTTTAGTGAAAAATACTATACGTAGTAATAGTTTGCAGATATCATGTCGGCATAAACAAGAATTAAAGGTTGGAACAGTTGAAGTGTATCCTTTTTATTGAACATAAAGTAGGACATTTCTTGATTTTATTCTAGGAACTAATTGTATGAGTCTTTATGTGAAAATGTTTAAAAATTAATATGCATTTTCAAAAAGATAAATCACTCGTTGGAGAAGGTATAGAGTAATAGAGATCTCCACCTTCTCCTCAATTATGAACTCAAACACGTATTGATGTCTCAACATTCAACTTTAATCACTAGTTTTTTTCCTCTACATTATTCTTTAATATTTTTCATTAACGATATAATGCTATTCACATGGCAGCTTAGAAACAGCTAAAACTGAAAAGTGTAAGCTTTTGGTTTAAGCAAATATATTATTGAGCATTATATATGGCTCAAAATCGTATTGCATAAAAGCTAGAATCAGTATTGTGATAGTGGCAAACATTGGACCACATATGTCGAGAAATAAATGCAATTTTTTTGGCAGCCTCAAAGACCAGTAACATTCCACAAAGATTTTTCCAGTCAAAATCGAAAACGAACAAACGATGGATTTTGTAAGCCTTCACGTTGACCAACAATGTCAGTGATATTCGTCTTTTAGACTCGCATCTTACTCTTTTGTCCTCTTCTCTAATCATCACAGTTTGGTTAAAGTTTGTCTTCTGAAAACTAGATTATACACTCCACGTTCGAATTTGAAAATTAATTATAACTAGAACATGTTAACTAATCGAACTTAAAGATAGTTAGTGCAATGTTCAGTTATTTGCTTAATTTGATACCAAAGTCGTAACTAAAGAAACCATAATTCTTTTTGATAGTGGCATCTTATTTAGTTGACAAAGAAATGTGGGTCGATAAAAAACAACGACCCTATCTAGTTTCAAACTTTCTATTCATAAAGTCATCTCATTTTATTTATCTTTCACCATGTTTTTCATTTGACCGGAAGATTTATATTCTTGGTTGGAAAACTGTTATTGTGATTCGTTCGTAGTCTAAAAGTCAAACTATAATTTCCATATATCTTTTTCTAATGAAAAATAGAATTTGGCTTCTGTGAAGTCCGTTTTATATTTTCTAAAAAAATTGGTGTGTTTAACCTATAACTTTAAAATTTGTCAAATTTGTCTCGATTGAGGATAGAGATCAAATATGTCGCTACAGTTTGGCTAAGCAAATTACATTTTTTTCCAAACATTTTCAAGTAATATACAAATTTTTCCAACTTAAAAATGTAATTTCCATGTTCGTATTGAATGTTCAGTCAATGTTGAGATAGTCGAAGAGGACTGGTATAGGGTTTTACATTTTAACTTTTGATCAACAATAGGCGAAATAGTTAACTGATTTTCTTCATTTTGCTTATGAGAAAAGCACATTTTATTTGGGATAAGAATTTAACAATATTATATTTTGTGTGTAAAATCAATATTGATTCCTAACATTTTTGTTTCGTCTTTCATTTTTGCCATTTTGATCATTTGACCAACTTTACAAGTGTTTTCGATAAAAAAAACTTCTAGTCGACTGTGTAAGAGAGCTATATTTTTTAGTGGAAAGTTGATCTTCTTTTAAAAGTGTAGAATGAAAAAAATGCATGTTCGTCTTGTAGACCAAACACGTCAAATTTGACATACGTTTATCACATTTAGCATATGTGTTGATGATAAAAAGAAAACACCGTAACTGAAAAACTACATTTTTAAATGCCGTCAAATTAGGAAACATTCAATTTCTCGAAAGAATTTTTCAAAAGTTTTCAAAATATTATAGCTCTTCAAACTTCAAAGTCATTCAGGATTAGGGCAATTAGCATGCACTAATTAATAAACGAAAATATGATTGTAAAGTCAAAATTTTCTAGCAGTTTGTATAGAAAAAGAATGTATCGACTATTGAGACAGTCAACTGTATATAAAATACATTTTTCCTAGCAATGCAGAAAGTTTTTCTTGTTAAACGTCAATGCAATACGTAAATACATTTCAGCATAACCATTTAACAAATTAAACACAACCCATTCAGTTTATTTTATGTGTATTTCTCCTGTTCTTAACGTACAGAGCTACACGCAAGACGCAACAGACTTTATCTAAAGCATTCTGCTACATTTTTCTGTTGTCTTGTATTATCATTAAACTTATCGGCGATTGTACTTCAATGGGAGTCACACAAAACCACTAAAAACCCGAGAAAAATGTGGTACGAAAAACAAACAAACCATGTAAATTTCTGTACGTTTAGTTTGCATTTCATATACGCGGATACATGCGTTGTTAATCTCTGTGATTGCATCGCCAATTTCTTAAGTTTATGGACCCAATTATAGTTTTTACTTTTACGCAGAGGAGTTATAAAGAGTAACAAAGATCATAGCTTTTGATTTCTTTTACTCACCACAATTCTAACTAAAATATACCAAAGCTAAGTGCATTCAGTTACCCTTTCGCAACTGTTGTGTATTGGTTTGATTTGATTTCGTATGGAGAGACTCGGGTTAGAACTGATTAAATTATTGAGATATCGGAAATCAGAGCTGTGTTAAGTTGTAACTGGGTGTTGGTTATTGAATTAATCAGAAATTATGTCACCGTTTCTCATCATCAAGATCCCATATCGGATAAGCTCAGATTTGACCGTTGGAGGTTGTTTCAAGTCGGTTTCGTTACCTGAGATTCTGTTGCGTGAGAGATTTCTATGTCATATTTGCTTCGTGAAATACATGGCAACTGTCAAGTGTAAGATTATCTCTGTAAACAAAACAATATTGAAAACGAAGTCCACGTACAGACCTGATGCGAAGTGGGCTATGTATGTATTGCGTTTTTCTCGGACTCATGGACTGATTACATTTTTTTTCTTTCCATTTTTATAGAAAATTGTAAATACTGATGAGTTGATTTGATAATGGAACAAATCTTGAGTTTAGCATCAAATTATGGTTTTCGGTTTTTAACTTTTTATACGTGAGAGAAGAGAGAGAGAGAGACTTTGATGATGTATCATGTATGCTAGTTGTTTTTTTTTTTTTTTTTTTGTGGTTGATGTGTGCTAGTTGATAAATAATGTACATGTTTACTATAATTTATTTTTTATTTTATTTCTTTTAATTACTATGAGGTTCTGGGCCCGTACATTCCCTAGGCCCGGAACCACATCATGTAATATTAATTTCGTCCCAAGGGATACTCAACGTGACCTCTAAACTTTGCCTAGGGTCCCTTTACCAGGACTTGGTATATTTACTATACTTACCATACACTTTATATATAAGTAAGTACCAATTATATAAAGTTTAATCAGTTTTTTAAAGGATAGCGGGTTAATGTAGGTTTTATTAGATTTATCCAATTTTTTTCGGGATTATAAGATTTTATTTGTATGATAATTATTAAAGCGATTATACTTATGACTTATCTCATAAATGCTTAGCACCTGTCACATGATGATAGAATATCTCTATAATCAAACCTCTATGCAGTAACTGATCCTGATCGATAGTAATTCAACAAATTAAAATAACATAAAACATATGGCAGAGTACAATATAACATAAAACGTATGTTGAAGGGAAAAGAAAACTTGGAAATAGTTAAGTTCGACCCTTAGGACAAAAAAAACTAAATAGAGATGCCATTGATCATAGAGAGGAGCCTGGCGTGAAAATAAATCCAAAAAAAAGAAGGCACCAATGGACACGAGACCGTGCCACAGAGTTGACCTATCAGGCGTCCGGAGAAACCGATATGTAATCCAAAAATCAAGGTGCAGCGTGCGTGTTGAATTTCCATAGGAGAATTGAGATGGAACATGGCAAACCCAAAAGCGAACATGGAATAGATGTAGACCAAGACCTCCACAGTTGGGTAATTGAAGGAGATGTAATAAATGGCTGTCATAGGAATGAGGGAGAAGAGCGTTCTTGTACCAGGTAAAGGAGGCTCATGTTCCTTGTAGATGCGAATAGTGGTCGGGAAGTGTAACATTAGAAACATCACCACATACAAGGTTGTGCCACCGATGCTCGCGTATTGCAAGGAACACGATGAAGGACACAGCCTAGAGTGATATATAGATGCCTAATAACGACACTGTCGCTATTATCTTATAGCACAATCCTTCCATCTCCGACTCACTATATTTTTTTTTTATGTTTGTTGCTAAGAAGAACGAGCTAGAAGAGAATATACATATTTATATATCGCTTTAACTAGGGTTTTGTTTTTATCCCTTTTTATTAGTATTTGTTGGTTTAGTGTTATCGTATCATATCTTTTGTGTTTATCTATTACTATTATTTTTGTTGGCATATCTTTCTTTATTTTTTAACGATGACATATCTTTATTTTGTGAAAACATATGCACTTTTGTTAGTTACCAAATTAGTTTCTAGGATATGCTTCAAATGTTAATGTGGACCCATTATTGAGTGATATTTTCCAATATTCAACACTTGTTACCAAAAAAAAGAAAAGAAAATCTCTGTTACTTGTCTCACCTCTTTTGTCGTAATTATTTCAACTCTCTTTTCGAACTCAACGTAATCGGCAATTTCGTAAGTTTAGTTGCGTATGAGGATTTTCAAATTCATTCGAATATTTGCGCGAAACTAGATAAATGCATCAACTTTTACAACCTCCTGTGTAACAAGTTTGTACGTAGTAGAAAAAGCTACTTTCTTAAAATTTCAAAGAGAATTAAAGCAATGATCAGAGATGGATAATTTGAAAAGTCCCATCGAGCGATCGAAGAAGGTCCGTACACGGTAAGTTCCCTGCAAGAATTCATGGAACGGTTGGTTTACTCTGGTATTGCCAAC